GGACTCTCTGTACACCAGGCGATACTGGGTATGTATACTAAACGGACACATAATAGTTCACCTCCAGCTCTAATGGATTCCTTAGAGAAAATTTAGATCAGAGGCTTTCCACTGACACATAAACACTGGCTCAGTGCTGATATATTAAAAAAGGCTTAAATTATATCTGCGCAAAATCAATAATATCAAAGTAAAAACGGCCACAGCTATGCACAAAAATGCACGTGCACACGTACGCACACATATTAGACAAGCAATTATAAGATGACACACAGTGTTTGCACACTGTCCTCGACCTGATAAACACTCCAGCTGATTAGTGCCTTTCAGTAGTTTTATTAAGGGTCAGTTGGTCAACGACTCCTAATTAGAGCTTAATTTAAGATAAAAGAACACAGTATGAAGCATGGTGGGAGGATAAAAGAGGGGGTGCAAGAAGATGTCTTACATGTTACACTTTCACTTTGTACTTTTAGGGATTTTTAAATTTTCTCTCAGTAGAGATGGTGGCATGAGTAAGCAAGTATTTGTTTTATCCACAATTAGCAAAAAATATGATGGGAAAGGAAATATGAAGACATTTGCAGGGTGTTCGGGAGCTGCGTTTCCTCTGTGTGTGCATCTTCCACTGCTGGTTTTCACCATAACTCCACATAGAATTTCAAAGTCAAGGTTGGTAAAAATAACATTTTCTTTTAAATTTCAGCTGAGCAGGAGTTTAGAAACCTGTACTGAGAGTATCTGTCTCAGTAGGGGTCTTGCGTGGGCTGGGTAAACTCTTCAGGTACTCCAAATGTCTGCGAGCCTCGGCTTGGTTCTGCCTCACATAGTACACTACATACACAATGACCATGAAGAACCACACAAACATGGTCACCAGCATGGCTACATCAGTGGTCTTCCTCTGCAGACTGCAGAAATTCACCCCAGAGTCCAGCAGTTTAACCAGCGGTTGGCCTGCGTGCTCGCCCAGTGACCCCGGATCCTCCCACCTGCTCCCCTCACCCACCCCCCGCACAGAGCTTTCACATATTATCCCATTCACTGTCTCAGGCTCCAGGTTCAGAGTCTCCATCAGCTCCTGGAGTGTGCAGTCACAGTGCCAGGGATTGTGGTAAAGACGTGTCTTTGCACGAGTGGAACCAAACTCCTCCTTGCTGACGTGCCTCAGCTGGTTATGTGAGAGGTCCAGCAGGCGTAGCTCGGGCCCCAGATGTTGCAGGGCCCCAGAGGCAAGCGAGTCGATGCGGTTGTGGGACAGGTACAGGTCCCGCAAGCGGACCAGGTTACTGAAGGCACTCTCTGGGATGTTCCGTATGTAATTGCGCTCCAGGTGGAGGGAGACAGTTTCTGGTGGGATCCCCTCTGGGATCTCCCGCAGCCCAGCATCCGAGCACAACACCGTGGCCGTGTCCCAGGCACAGTGGCAGCTGTCCGGGCACTGTGGGAACACTTGGCCCCACAGAGCCAAGAACAGGAGTGACACACGCAGCCATGAGTGAAGATCCAGTCCTTTACGTCTTCCTCCACTGAGGCTGTTACATCTCGCCTCACACCAGCCCGTGCACATGGCCTCACCATAGCCTCCTGACACACACCAGGTCCCAGTTAGCCGCACACTGTTGCGCCGGGAGAATCTGACAGATTGAGAGAAAAGAGGTCAGTTTGGAAATGAAGATTCTCTCTCTCTCTCTTTACTTAATCTGCAAACACATGCAATCACAACAAATGCTCACAAGGGGAGATTATGATGTTTTGGGAGGAGGGGCAGAAAAAAGGTCAGTGGCTAAAGAGACAGACAGTGAATGAGCTTAAACGCGGCTTATTCCACGAAAGCCCTCCTGTATGGAGAGGCATGTAATACAAATGGACTCAAACATGTAAGAGGACAGTTTCTCTGCTAGAAAATCACCCCTTGTCATGCATATCGAAGAAAAATGTTTGTTAATAACTCTGAAATGAAACTGGACTTTCAGTGGAACCATCAGCAAGTTTTATTGCAGTGATTCCCTCACGAATCACAGTCCAAGCCGTAATGACGGTTTAAGTGATCTAATAGGGTTAAAAATCCTCTCTTGTACTTCTGCATTAAAGGGACGTAAATCATTATAAAAGATCATCTTAAACCCTCCCATTCCTCTCCTGTTGTGCTCCTCCAGAATAACAAGTTTAAGATGAGAAGGAAAGCATTACATTACACCCATCAATACATGCTCGTCTCATTTATCTCTGTATTTATTTCCCCATGATGCCATATCCCCTTAATCATCTTCCAAGGATGAGGTAGAGGAGATGTGTATTGTAGGATGTAGGTTAGAAAGGGGTTGGATCGATAAGCCCAAGCATTGCCTGCTGCACTATTAACTGCATGAACATTAATCCTGCCCGAGTCCCACAGTGTCAATAAGTGACAGGGCTGGAAAAAAAATAACCCAGCAGCAGTCTGGGTGTTAGCATCTGCTCGCTTCTCCCACAGTTTAGAGGCAAAAGTTTAAAAAAAGCAACATGAGCAAAACCAACTGGGACTCTGCTTTAAATATGGTTTTTTTTCCTTTCTTTAAAACAAATAAATAAAACCATGTGGGTCTGTAGGTGGTGTGAGGGCAGCCTGTTCTTGTTTTGCTGACACAAGCATGGCCATATGATGTTCTTGTTCCCAGACTGAAATCACAAAACACTCCTTGAATTTGATTAAAAGGCTATCCTCTTAAAATGTCAAGCACCCTCCGCTTTCTCCCCATTTTCATAATAGAATAAAAACTGTCATGTGTCTCTATTGTCCTGACAGCAGGGCTGAGGGTTTCAACCCCGACTCAAGCGGCCTAGATTTGGATGATATGCCTGAAGGTGACTGGGTGACAGCCCTCTGATGTCCATCAAGCTGCCCTCTGTGCCTTATAAACTGTGCAGAGGATTTGGCTCAGCACGCACTCAACGGTCCGTTATTAACATACTGAATGCAGATGCATGCAAATCCCCAATTAGCAAAAATACTCATCTGCTGCATTAATAAGAATGGGATTGAGAAAGACCGGGGTGGGGAGGCTCCCAAAGCAAATACAGCTGTGGTTACAGCTGGTGACTGCAGTTTCCAATTATTTTTTTTTCTAATATCCCTTCCTAATTTTAAAAGGCATTTAATCCGAAATAGAAAAGACATTCTCGGAATTTCCTGCACCCAACATAGTTTTTGACAAAATGAACCTGCACCGACATGATAACGATGCCGGTGAAATTTCATGCAGACTTTAGATGACATTAATCTGCGTGAAACAGGTCAACTAGTCTACCCGAAGCAAAGGGCGTCCACAAAACAGCGCTTTCCGTTTGGTGACACTAAATGTGATTTTTCTGTATCATTTTTAAACTTTTGTGCGATAAAAATGAAGTTACTTAAATTTTATGTGCAGCTTTTTTTCTCCGCTTGCCTTATTAGGCTAAAGTTAATGCATTTCTTTTTTTTCCCTTCTTTTTTTTAAAGAGAGAGAGAGCAATTCGCGAAGGATCTGAATGTTAGGGCTCGTTTTTCCAAGTGAACATAAATAAACTCACCTGTAAAACCGTTTCTGGTGAAGTTTGGATCCACGCGGCGGGTGAGAATGTTTATTTAGACTCCGTTTGTAGTTTTTCTTCCCACAGGCTGGATGAACATCATCATCATCATCCTCTTCCTCAGAGTTGACAAATTTCCCAAAAAGGCAGAAAAAGAAAGACAGACAGAGAATCACCTGAGAGCGCGTGGCGGTCTGTCCCCTGCGGAAGGCTCCGTCACTGACTGTCTCACTAGTGGAGGGTAGTTATAGCGATAAAGATGTGGGGCAAACTCTCTCCCTCCCTCTGTATCTGCTTGTGCGCGCGCGCTTGTATATGTGTGTGCGTGTGCGCGCGTGAGACGAAAACAAACGCGGGAGGTGTGCCCTCCACTTCTTCTGTCCCTCACTAGAGCTGGAATCAATCTCAGCTTTCTGAGAAGAAGCTGGTTAACTTAATTAACCTATAGATATAATTAGATTCTTCCAACCATTTTTCCAGCAGAATCAGATTGAAACCCAGCCATGCGCACAGTTACACAGATTAGTAATTTATTTATTCATTTTAAGTAAGCAAAAAAAAAAAAAAAGCCTAATCATTGTTTGATATAGCATGCGAAATAATAAATAGCCTATATCACCCGCAAAGCTGGGCGGGCTATTTACAAAAGCTGTCAGGCTGGAGTCCTACCTGCAGCTGTTCACAGTTAGATAAACAGGAGTCCTGACTGATAGAGCTGGAAGGAAAACAGCATTAAAGGGAAAATGCGATTCTTCTAATCACTCCTGTTTTGTCCACGCTTAGTAGTGGAGGTCAAGTAGAAAGAGACTTCATTTGTCACAGTGCGCAGACACAGAGAGTGGATCAAGCTGAAAATGAAGACTGACTTGGACACGCAGGGAAACATAAGCATGGACCTACAAAGGAGCAGCAGAACATATGGCAGCCTTGACATTTTGAATTTCCACATAAATGACATGGAAACACCATCAGACCGGGAGACAAAACAGCAGAAAACAGAGAATGTATGCAGAGAGCAGGCGCACTCTTGGGATGAGTGACCTGCTCCGTCTCTGATTTTCTATTGTAAGCAGCAAGAATATCTGCCCATGTACAGCAGAGCCCTCAGGGGGGAAAGGATGGGTCTGACAGCCATGATGGCACCTCGTATCCCTCCTCTGCCTCTACAGCCCGTCCTGCTCCTGCTAAATCTATGACATTCCCACTCCTGACAAATACAGAACGCTGCAAGTATAATGCCTTTTTTTGCCCCCACATTCCAGCTGAATACTTGTGAATGTTTTGCCCTTGATGGGTGATTGTTTCCATGTTTGCCAGACATGATGCGGCAGACAGGCTGAGTTTTGTGGTTTTTCCAGATAGAAAACAAGGGACAAAGGGGTGCATAATGAGAAAGCACATGGCGGCAGATAGAAAATTTTCTTCTTCAGGAAAGGAAGGAAAAAAAAGTATTGCACATTGTCTATTTTTGCTCCCTGAACTGAGAGCGAATAGCATGATTTTGGGTCCGAAGTTCAATTTGCAGGAAGAAAAATAAAAGCTGTACCACATGGTGAGAAGGCTATGGAGGGTCTATTTGTACAATATCGGATGAAGATCTTTTAAAGGATGCGCATGCCTCTGAGCAGCACGATGATGACAACACTGACAATATGAACTCCAAGGAAAACCATCACTGCAGTCAAGTGAAACAGTTTGGCATCATCTGTTTGCTTGGGTGTTGTCCTCAGAGGGGAAAACTGAGCAAACCACACAAATTTGTAAATACAAAGAGGCAGTGGAAAAGATCTGCCAGCCAGAAACAAAAATCTAGTTCTTTCTGTGCACACGGTCCGTGTTTTTGTCCTTTATCTGTGTTGTGAAAAGAAAGGGCAAAAAAAATAAAACCCACAAAACTCATGTGGCTATACCTCTCCATTAGGTATAGAGAGGGAGAGGAGGGGGAGCGAGAGAAAAGAAAAAGCAGTGGAGCATTTCTTGTAACTAGCCTGTCATTCTCTCGGGATTAAATCCACTAACAACAGGTCAGGCTGGGGGCAGGTGTTCTGCTGAGGCTCTCAGTAGCCATTTTTCCACAGCGTGGCCAAGTGGGACTCGGTAGTGCTGGAGTCGTCTTAAAAATGCTTACGACCGAGGACTAACACAAAGATCTGGTTTGCTGCTGTGTTGTTAAAAACTACAACACAGACGGAAAATCATCTCTGCTGACAAAACAAAGTATTAAAAAATGTTGCTTTGTAGGGGCTTTGGGTGACAGCAAAAGACTTGCAGCCCGTTTGTTCTGTAGCAGCAAAACCAGCGCATGGGCTAAAATGCAAAGCAGAGCTTTTGAGGACACTAAACATTTAGAATATAGTCACCCTGTGATTTCCTGTGCACAGCAATCAGGCAAGTGCACTTGACCATGAATAAGCCTGAAACTGTGCATGTGAGGGTAAAGTGGAGACTGGGAAGCTCAAATCGATGCATATTAGGCTACACATCAGTCCTTTCCTCCTTTCAATCTGATGCTTCTCTCAGAGAGTCTCCAATTCTGCCACTGTGATGAATGCACCTTTGCTGTGTCCTGCTCCTTTGAGTGAAGCAAGCTGTGAAAAGGGGTTATCTTCTACATCTCCCAAAACAATACAGCATCAGTTGGCAGGGATTACAACACCATGTGACTATAAAAGGCTGTGACAAATGTGTATGGATTGGATTGAGACCTTGGCTCGGGACCAGCACAATAGAGAGCAGAGTAATAACACTAAAACGTGTATCTGTGTGCTTCTGAGACAAAGGTAGCGTGCAAAAGAAGTTGCAAGAGGAAGCGCACATTTCCAAAGCCATTATATATTGTTAGTGCACTCTCAGCCAAATGGTAAACAATAATTCAGCAGCTGAAAGTTGAGAGCAGATATAGATTAGACGATACACCATGAGCTTTATTGCTATGAGCACATGCTGTCTGTGGGAGCTTGTTTTCTTGACATTAGATGGGGGAGGTCTAACGTTTGCCACAAAAAAAAGTAAAAGCAAGAGCGTGTTAGGAGAAAATTAACTGGATTTAAGAATAAATAGTCTGAATGCAACGAAAGGCAAATGAGGCGAAAGACATGAAGCCGAGCAACATTTACAGCTGTAACGTGTCCATTTTATTTTGCACCGCAGTGGCATTTGCACAATGACACCAGCGCTGATGGAAATAAAATGCACAGCAATAAAACCAGAGCGGTGCGTTATGTAGACGAAGAGCAGCGGAAGGTCAGACCCGTGGGGAATGTAATAAGAAGTAACAGGTAGCAAAAGGGGGAGGAAATCTGGTGTAATGATGAGAAAATTCAAGCCACATCTACCGACTTTATTACAGGGAAATTGACTGCATGACTCGTCCCAGTCCCGGTAACCCCGTCACGAGGCTTCCTGCCACGCGGAGCACGTCTTTGTGGCGTTTGGTAATTTAATTTATCCAAATTAATCAGGCCTTATTACTGACGCTTTGATCTCGGAGCCAAAGGAAGTGGCCTCTGTATCTCTTTGTAGTGCTACGGTTAATGTCAGCACGCTGGAAATGAAAGGTGCAACCGTAGTCCAGGTGTCTCTATAAATCAGCGACTGAAAGGTAAGGCCGTGGTATCTCAGGCTTTGAAGATGCTGGTGTCGTTCGGTCAGATGGCAGCATATTATGGGGCGCGAGCGACAGCCAAGAGACTGGGAAAACAGCAGGTTTATTGCCGGATTCAAGCCAATGCTCAATTATTTACCAAAGACCAAAAATATGTCAAATCAGTCTTTTATTTCAAAAGAACTCCAGAACAGACATTTATAAGAACAGGCAAAGAGAAGAAGGATATTATGAGTCAGCATGATGACCCAGAGCCCAGAGTCTGCGTTGGTATATCACTAAACAACGTGGTAATGAAGTCAGCTGTTTCCGTTCGCCGGGGACTGGGCGGCGGCCTGCAGGGTCCTGCGGGCCATCTCCATCGCTCCTTCCTGGGTCTTGTTCCCGCCAATAAAGCCTCCGGCGTGGACAAAGATGCAGCCCTTGATCCCGCTGAGCTCCGACAGCGCTTCATCCCGAACACCACGCCACTCTTCTGGCAGCGACAGCCTGGGACAGGAGCACAGAAGGGCAGGTTGGTTTACAGATGGACACTCTGTGGTCCGCTGATCACTTCATGTTGCGCATTAGTTTTGCAAAAACAAAATGTACTGTACATTATGAAAAACAGCAAACTCTGGAGTTTAGGGTAAAAAACCCCAAAACAGAGTGATTAACAAAGTCCTTTTACAGACAAAAACAAAATATATTTGCACTTCTTAAACTTTTCAAATTCTCCGTGGCTCATATGGTACTAAAGTGAAAATCTGCTTCACAAAACAAGAAATATGAATGTGAACTTGAGCTTTAACAAAGTCCTAAATATAAACTGACTGAAAGCATGAAGACAATACTAGAATATTAATCGGCAAAAGCTCAGAAAAATGCATTTTTATATGTATATTAGTTGGTTGTAACTCATTTCTTTCATAATTTCTGAATGTTTTTGCACAAACGCTTGGATTACTCTCACCCTTTCAGCTTTCATGCCTGCAGGGGTAGTGGTGCTATGTGCAGCCACTCTTGCTCATAGCACCACTATAATGGGCACCGACAAATAGACCAATAAAATAAAAAACAAAAAAACACAATCAGCTTTATTCTCCTCCAGCAATGTGGAAAATCACACCTCAGTGCAGCGACTGGAGAGCCCTATGGTAGCGGAGTGGAGTCAAAAGGCAATCTCGCAAAGTGGGGGAAAGATTGGCTCTGCGATGGTTTACGAGCCGACCTGGAAAACGTGTCTCTGGATGGAGCACGCAGAGAAAATTCATAAAAATGTAGAACAGCTCATTTACCACCTACTGCAGGTAGCATACATCTTTCTACAGCCTTGCCAATCACACCTTACCTGTTATCTAGCGCGTGCGTTTATATCACTCTTTCCTTGACGGGGTTATTATCTCCATTATCTCAGACCCTGTTCTCCTCAGAGGACTTTTATATTTAGCAATGTTTCATTCCGATTTAGGCCTGATTAAGCACTTCATTGTTCACCTTTCACCCACCGCCTGCTTCTGGAATAGACTTTAAATGCTTTTTAAAACGCCGAAATTCCCTAAAAGCGTCGGATGTCATACAAACCTTTGGCTCGTCTTTCTCTTTATCGCAAACTTGATGAATTATGGAACAGCACGGTCGAACTTGTCAGAAATAAAGTGACACGGTTGTCAAACGGTGCATCAGTTTGAAGCGAGCAAAGTGTTTTCTCTTGTTCTCTTTACTTTGAGCATTAACTGCCATTTTTCTATAACATCCATAATGATGAGAATGATTTGCATGTCGACTCCATTATGTCAAATCTTTTATCCCTAATAAGACTGCCATAGGACTACCTGGAGAGGCAAGCATGGCAAACCTATAATCCCCATTAAAGAATCAACCAATCGATAGCTGCACAGTGCGGCTGGAAAATGAGCTCTGAGGAAAGGTCAACAGGGCTGGTGATGAGGGAAGGAGTAGGAGGGGGCGGCTGATGTTGTTACAATAGGCCAGGAAGCTTTCGCTTGCGAGATGACCGGTCTAAAAATAAATCCACAATTAACAAATTAGCGTCTCATGAGAGAAGACCCCCTAAGACCTCAACTGAGACAGATAGTGGCAATTAGTGGGTCATTACAAAAATGTTACTTTAGAGTCGGAGACACATCCTCGAGACTTCATTACTGCATGTTTTCAGCGATATGAACGAAAGCGTGAACCTTCTGGTTCCTCACTGAGAACAGAACAAAAGGCACTTTTGTAGAAGCTGAAGTGCTGCATTTTTCTGCACCTTTACTCATCAATAACATGCACCAAATTCTGACCACAGATCTTCCACATTACACACATTTTTCCCTTCCACAATGTAAAATTTCTCTGCTTTTGAAGACAAATTAAATGGAATTATTCCCATTTTTTCTCCGAGGCATTTTCTCATATGATCCACTGTCATTTTATACCTGACATCGCTGCTTCATCTCGGAATTACAGACATGATTACAGATGACCAGCTCAATTTAATTATTTTTCAAGCAAAAATGTCATACAGTCTGGGTTTTGTTTTTTTGTTTGTCTTGCCCTTTGCTCATATGTTCAGATTTCAGACAAACTAAAGAGATCACCAGGAGACGGGTGATTGTGGAGGACATCAGTCATTATTTTCTGGCGCTTTATCGACTAAACTATCGACCAAAATAACAATCAGATGAAGTAGAAAGGATAAAGACATCGAGTAACAACCATCAGGTTCACCTCCAATACCGCGATACAGCGGGTAAATGTGGCAGCCGCCAGTGTGTATTTCCTGAAATAGAGGTATATGTTTCTGGCTCAGCTCATTCTGCTGTCAACCTACAGTATCATCCTATACAGCACATTTCCAAGCAAGGGCTGCTTTCACTCCCCTCTTCGTTCTCCCAGCTCACATTTACTTTGCACTACGATGCTGATAAAAATAGACCCTTTCCCCCCCAGGTGCAGTAGCAGGGACACAGGCGATAACAACACCCCTTCTGCAGAGTCGGCACAAGCCCGCTGGGAGAAAGCAGGCCACCCATAGAAAGAGCCATCTGGAGCTACGTTTTTATCCATCACACAAGCTATTGTTCCCATGTAGCGCCACACCAACCAGCATATTTGCATTAAATTAAATCTTTGAAGTGCTCCGCGACTACAAACAGGTGTCTTTTCTTTTTAGTCTTTGAAAGCGCAGCCGCCTGATGAGATTCTGGAGCAAAGTGGAAAAAAGTCTAACTGAGGGACCAGGCGAGGGAGGGGCGGAAGGTGTGAAAGGTGAGACAGCGAGATAGGGCGGAGGAGGGAGAGATAGAAGAGGACGTGGAGGCGGAGGAGGAGGTGGAGGAGGGGAGAAAAGGGATTAATGGGAAAAGAGCAAGACAAATGGGGGGGGTGACAAAATGGAGGAGTGTGATTATAGGACTGAGACAGAAATACTCTGCACAAAAAGAGCAAGAAGCACAAAAAACCCACTAATGGGATAATCAAAAGAAAAGAGGAGGAAAGGGGTGAGAGCAGCCACTGGTCAGGCCAGGAGTGAACCAGAAAGCTATTCCAGCGTCTTCCTGTCTCTGTAGGAATGATGTGTTCAGAAGGTCCCCCACTATTTTCAAGCAGTCAACAATGAGCCCCATCAAACCAAAAATAAAAGCACAAGGGCACATACTGCTGGAGGTAACAAGACATGTGGAAACAGAGGTCAGGTGGGCTTCACAGTGAGAGATACCTGAGACCACACAAGGAAAAAAAACCCCACACATGACAACAAAGAGAAAGACATGTAACAGATGTCATGTGTTCAAAACTACTACTGCCAAAGCTACTGCGTGAAGGACCAGAAAGATCATGTGACTGGTACGATTTCTGCTTTTTCCTTGTTTTTGATACTATTTATAAGCACAATTTATTTAGCAACAACCATTTAGTGTATTTATGTTGTTCCTCTCTTTAATGTAGCTCTCACTGTCAGAGGCACATTTCTAATTTTATCTCATTACATCAATATCAGCATCAATTTACTATTCACTCTCAAATGCAGTATCACAGATGCATATTAAGTTGCTGCTAGAGGAGCAGCGATCAATCGTCCAGGGACCAGAATCAGTCGATTTCCACTGTGTTTAGTCAAGACTGGTGACAGCTGGTCATCCGATTATGATCTGTGGCGTTTCATGCATGTGCACAAGCACACGTAAAGCCAATCTCTAACTTTAGTGTGGAAACACTTTACTATGAGTAACGACTGAAAAACTGGCCTAACTAAACCACAGGGAGACCAGCATGAAAATGTTTGTACCAACAAACCCAGTCAGACACTTAAACCATCTTCACCCAGCAAAACACGGACATTATAAAGAAGCTAACAAAGGAAAAGTGGAACACTGGAAAATAACTCAAAATGTTAGAAATATTCCAGTGTTAGAAAATCAGCACTGCTCAGTGTTAGCCATTGTTAATCTTCAAAACTGACTAGGTTACTTTTAAACATATAACACTGTCAAAAGTGTTGTATTTAACACTCAACAGTGTTGTATTTAACACTCAGAGGTGTGGACCCATATAGACACTCTCCAGTGTTAATTTAACACTGGAGATTTTGCTGTGTAGCTTTTAGTCGTTGTCACAAAGGTCAGAGCTCAATTTATAACACAGTTTAAACATTTTGTAGCAGATATAACTCGATCTGACGTCTAAGAGGATTTACCAATTTTAGAGGATTAAAAAACAGATTGTGTTCACTTTGCACAAATTTCCTAACTCATTAGACGGTGTGTTCGATTAGTAAAATTTCTGTTACCACAAAATGCTTTCAGTAATGGAAGTGGTCTAGCTTTCCTGCTGAGTTTGTTGTCTGGATAAAATTGTATCTGACGTAGAAGAAACCGCCACCCAAAATCATCCGACGCGTTAAATGGAAAAAAAGAAAAAAAATATTGAGCATGGCGCTAATTCAGACAGACGGTGAAGTCAAGCTCAGCTATAATACTGGCGGACCAGCTGAACACAACGCCAACTCACATCAGCCGATACACTTCTATACGTCCAACTGGCAAAGTTCTCCCACACCTCACACAGAGTGTGCAAATCGAGCTGCCTGCTCTGCGACTGATTCTTGCAGCTTAAGATGAATAATTCTCATAACAGGTAAACAGAAATCTCACCTGTCCTTCCTTTCCCCTCGACTCATCCACTTGTGCCATAAACACTTGTTGTTTATTATTTATTCAGAATTTTTTCCTTGCATTTACTTTTATTCGCGTTAAGTTTATAAAGCTTTTTTATTTCATTTAAACAGGGCTTTTTACTTGTTCTTCCATTGAAAAAAGTTTAAGAGTCTATTACAATAAGTCAGCTGAGGTCAACGAAGTCACCTGGATGAGTGACGAAACATTTCTCCCACTGAAAACGCTACGTCCAGATGAACAGGGATGAGTTATGTGTATATATAATTTGTCCTGTGTGTCTTTTGCCCTGTCTTCCTCCCCTCAACCCCAACCAGTCGTGGCTGATGGCTGCCCCTCCCTGAACCTGCTTCTGCTGAAGGGTTCTTCCTGTTAAAAGGGCGTTTTTTCTTCCTATTGTCACCAAGTACCTGCTCATAACGGGTTATATTATCGTTTTCTCTCTAATATTGTACCTAACAACACAAAGCCCATTGAGGTGACTGTTGTTGTGGTTTATATTCATAAAACTGAGTGTAAAATTTAATTTAATTGAATACAGCAGTGTTACAGGTGACCCTTCTTCACTCGCACACATGCACAGATACACAAACCTGCTGCAGAGAGCACATCAACCAAAGAATAAATAAACTTTTAATTAATTAACTACAGTTGATATAATCTTGTAAAATACTCTGACAACACGGTTTGCATATTGCTCTGTCACCAGACAAATACAAGCTGTAACAAGATGCGAGTCTAACAAACAGACTGGGAAACAAGATCAAAGATAAACCCACATGCTAGAATCTATCCCCGAGGCAAAACTGCTCATCTTCACAGCTTTGTAAAGCGCAAATCGCTTCCAATACTCTTCCACCTAAGTCACTGCTTCTTAAGTGCACATGCTGACCACTTAGGGCTACCACTTTAAAAGCGCAGATCAATATCCAGCAGCTCATGTCAAGTAAACGAACCAGGGAGGGAACATCAATGCTGGAAAGATTTTCTGCACCAGGAGATTTTTTTGTCGCTAATGTCTCTGTTAGTACCTGGAAACAGGTTTTTGTGATTATGAACACATTTAACACGACTCTGGGAAACATGGACTCTGCAACCGTACGGCACCAAGCAGCTATAAAGACGAATATCTGGATAACGTCCAGGATCAGCCTAGTGTTTGCCATACTTTGGTGATTACGTGTGCTACATTCTGGGATTTAGGGCACAACACACCCACTACAGAACTCCAGTGGGCCCGCTAGTGACATTATTAGAACAGCATTGTAGGTCGGTCTGCGAGAAGCTCTTTGGGTAAACACTTTCCCCTCCAGAGATAAGAAGCACAGACGATAGGTGCTAATCATCTTTAAAATTTCACACAGGGGTGTGGTGTTGTCATCACTGTCATTAGTGAGGGACCTGACAGGAACTCTAACATGGTTTAATAAGCCTAGCACTCTCATTTAAGTGCTAGGTTTGAGGATTCGGGTCATCTTTATTGCTAAGGTATGTCGAAATGCTGCTTATCACAACAGCAAAAATACCACCAGCTGCCAGTGCGACCACTCAGCCTCGTAGCACCTATGATATCAACCTGAAAATCCCACGTCACTTCGTTCTCGACTTATCGTGTTCTTAAAGTTTGGCATTGACGTCGCAATTAAACTGGTGCAAAAGGACAAAAAGGAAAGGCATGTACATGTATGTCAGGCACAACTGACAGTGACTGAGCACATCTCTAAACTGTTGAGTGGCCTAAATGGTATTCATATTACAAAAGCATAGAAGCAGAAAATCAAAGGGGCTTTGTTGCTCAACAGAGCATCTCACTTTGATTCATGCTCACAAAAAAAATCTCGAAATCAAAGCATCTCTCCTACCAGTCAAACTGGCATGTGCTTTATATCTTTCAGTCTGCTGTATTGAAGCACTGGGTATAATTAAGAGCAGAAAAACACACAAGACGCAGCTGAGTGGGAGGGCTGTGCAGGTGGCTGTGCTGAGTTGTGTTTATATTTTTTTAAGTTCCTGGGAACAAAATCTTCGGCTTAAATAAAGTATCTTCCTCATTCTATAAACAACCATTTCTATCCTTGTAGGAGTCCGTCTCTCACCGGATAACACGTCAACCCTCCGTGAGCGGCTGTCACACGGTCCAGTAAGCATGAAAGTTAAATCATAGACCATTGTTTGTCTCTGTCACCGGAGCTCAACTCAACGCAACACGTTGAAAACTCTGAAGCTGTCATTGTGTTAAAAAAAAAAATCCAGTGTGGAAAAATTTATTGTGCGTGACTCAGTTTCACAAAACCCCTGCGAGTTATGCATGCTCGACTTCTGCTGAAGGAACTCATGCAAGAGGTTTCCTCCACGCATGCGACTGAATGCTACAGCTAAAGCTGAAAAAAAGGTCCTCAAATGGTTTTCAATAACATTTTACTAAAAGATAACCTTAAAATTTACCTGTTCTGGAAAGTGTTGAGCCCAGCAGGGACACACTGGACCCTCCACTGTCCATTCTGGTCTGGGTAAAGGACAAACTTAATGGGCGTCTCCACGTGGAGCTCCTTCTCTAAGGCAAACAAATGCTCCTTCCAAGGACATCCACCCTGGGAAAAAAGGAGTACCTCTCCACTGGGATCTATCTGGAAACAAGAATAGAACAGGTGTAACACATGTGACTAATGTGCAAAAATCAAGGACAGACACAAAAGCCTGTGTCTGTGGAAAGCGTCACTGTATAAGAAAAGCAGCAGCATTTTAAACTCATTTTCACAGTAACTTGTGCTTATTTTATAAGTGATAAATGTCTCCTTCAACTAAACAACAACAGTCCTGATACTCTCATCATTTTTGATAATATTTACAGTTTTCAAAACAAGACAGAAAATGCTCAGAATCAGAATTTAATAAAAAGCAATTAAAGAAATTAAATTAGATCTAAGGAGCACAAAACAGAAACTTTTTATTCACATATTTTTATTAAAAATACTCAAACATGAAATTCTGCAGTGAGTTTCTCATCTTGGGCTAACAGATCAGGTGTCCTACATCTGCTTTTTTCTTTTTTGTCTGGTCTGTGTTTAGATTTTTTTTGCTGTTTAGCTTCATTTGTTTCCATATCAACCTCAAAGTCATATTTATTTAGTTTATTTAAACCACAGTCGGTGTCTCAGGGAAAACACCAACTGTTTGGCCAGCGGCTTAAACAAAAACAAAAAACATCATCACTCACAGCCAATTCAGCCAAGTATGAAATGGCTGGGATAAAAATTAGAACCTCAAAGTTCGAGGCCACGGTTCTCAGTCGGGAAAGGGCGGAGTGCCCATTCCAGGTCAGGGATGGGCTGCTGCCCCGAGTTGAGGAGTCTTATTGATGAGTGAGGAGCAGGAGATCGACAGATGGATTGGTGTCAGCAGTAAATGCAAAGCTGATCTACATTCCCACCCTAGCCTATGGTTACGAGCTCTGGGTGGTGACTGAAAAAAGATGAGATTGTGAATATAAGCAGTGGAAATGAGCTTTCTCCATATGGTGGTGGGCTCAGCCTTAGAGACAGGGTGATTTTGGTCATTAGGGTGGCAAGTAGAGCTGCTACTCCACATTAAAGGATGCCTCCTGAATGTCTCCCAGGTGAGGTGTTCCAGGAAAGTCCGTAGGAGGCCCCAGGGCAGACCAGGGAGAGATTACATCTCTCGGATGGCTTTTTAACACCTCAGTCTCCTCCTGGAAGAGCAGGAGGAGGTGGAAGGGGACAGGGACATCTGGGCATCTCTGCAAAGGCTACTCCCTCCGTGAACCAGAAAACCATGAGAGTATTAAGAGGCCCACTGCTGCTGGTGCAAACAAATAAAGAAAACAAACAGAATGAAACAGAATGGGCAGCTTCGTACCTGATGTCTCTTCTTAACAGCTTCCTCCACGACCTCACGAGCTGGCAGCCAGGAGGACTTGTAGAAATCCAGACGGTCCAGGAACTCCTCCCCAACCATCTTCAGTGCCTTCTTGAAACCCTCCTAAGGATAAAATAGAGATTAAAATATGTGAGAATAAAGACATGTTGGATTTTTTGACAGCTGGCTAGACTTAAAACACTGATGTCACTTTAACAGAGAAAGAACTCTGTAGACTCAGCTGAACGCAGTATTCTTTTGATCATTTAGCTTCTTTCATCACTACTACAGCATCAGTTTGACATCAGCTACTTTACGTGAGACCGTGTACCAAACAAAATGGGGGTGATTAAGTCTTGTCTTACTACCTCCCTGCTGATCCCTGCAGCCCAAACCACAGCCCGATTTCACTCTCGCATAGTTTCACGAGCAGAAGCCCAAGAGGAGCATGTGAAAGAAAGCACGGCACAGATATCTCACACACAAACTCATGCACACATACACGTGGTATGTCATGCACAATCTGTATGCATCTGTTTGAGGGGGCTGCATTGGACCTGAGTATTAACAGTCATGGCTGGAGGAGATGAAAATCCATCCGGTTTTTCAATTATCAGCAGCAGCCAATGCAGAGAGTTCAACAGGTCATTCTACCATTAAGTTGTCTACCAAACATTTTCCAGTTCAAATCTTTCTCAGTTTCCCATTTCACAGATATGGCTTCGCCTGCAGTGTTTGGAGGACATGAATTATAATCATGTGAAGTGGAACGTGAAAAAAAAAGAAACAAGAATCAAGCAGGTAACTTAAGGAAAAAAAATGTTGGCATAGTTGACATATATGCATATCTAGGCTGTGGGTGAGTGTGCAGGAAACACTGATGAGAGACAGAAAATTCACACTCTGTTGGTCCTGCACAGCTCTCACAATGACCTCTGAGCACTGATTGCACCACACTGCACCTGTTTGCCCTCTTAGACTATTTTGTAGTTTTGCTTCACCACAGGTTGCTCACTGTGTGTGATGACTAAATTTATTCTTTTTTTTATACTGGGGCACTACTGTGGAGCAGCTGTCTGTTAAAATCGCAATTAATCCATGTTGCAAAGTATGCATGTTGCATTTTATTGTTGTATGTTTGCATTTGGATAATTATTTAGATTTAAGTTCTCTTTTTTTCGTTTGTACTAATTATCTTTGCTTAAATTTTCCAATATTGTGTATCTGAGATGATGCTGCAAATCAGTAGGCTGAGATAACTAATCATCAATTATAAAATAAACTACCATTTTTTGATTAATAGTAAAACATTAGCAATTTTTCATGGAAAACAATACTCCATGCTCAGGTTTCTCCAATATGAAAATCGTCTGTATAGTGTTTTTGTTTGGGTTTTTTTTACTTCTTGCATTTTATTGATTAAAAGGTTAAAACTCTACAGATCAACTGAGGTCATAAACAGGTGTGTATTAAGTGTGCCAGTAAATGCCAACGCTGCAGTATCGTCCTTGGCCTATTCGTATTGTGGGCTGTGATGCTTTTTGCAATGGGGTCATTTTACCCCCATTGCTAGGTGGTTGCTAGGCGACATGATGACATTATAATATATCACATATAATTAAGCTTTTGTGTCAATAAATGATAGGATGCTTTCATAGGGTCTTGTCGGTGTAAAAAAGGCAAAAAAACCAGGTCATTTCACCACGTTGCTAGGTGATTGCTAGGCAACCTGATGCCATCATAATATATGATGTATAACTGAAGTTTTGTGGATATAAATTAGATGTTATTGTAGGGTGTTCTAAGTGCACAGAGGTTAAAAACAGGTCATTTTAGCAAACTTCTCGGTAGCTGATGGGCACTGTGATGGCATTATAAAGCATCATGCATAATTCAGCTATTGGGGATATAAAAGAGACTGAAATTAAAATGATAGGCAGGCATTATAAGGTGTTTTAGGTGCATAAAAGCTACTTTCTGTTGCTTCTTTATTCACAAGGGTTCAGCACAGTGGGCAGCGAGTTTTGATTTGTATTTTTTAAAACTTCTTTTAACCAGCATCCCTTCCTGAAGCAGTGTTTAAGGGATTTGCGTCAACTTGAACAAGTGAATGTGATTGAACCGGTGATCTTTTTCACATTAGGCAAAACTGTAAAACCACAATGGACCCACAATAATGCTTTATAGGTGGATAAATGCTAAAACTGGTACATTTTATGAAAAAAATATGGGAAAGGGATTCAGGGTCTACAGTGGATGAAGATACGTGGGATTCTATATTGTCGAATAGTGGATTATACATTAGGGAAGCCAGAATACAAAATGTCTTAATAGATACTATTATACTCCTTCAAGGCTGTATAAATGGTGCTGGTTGAGATGACCATGTTGGAAATTCCAACAAGCTAAAGATACTTTGATACATGCTCAGCTGGTTTTTCCAGTTTGGAACAGCTGTATTGAATTATATGCAGGCGGATGGATACCTTGTAACTCCCAGATCACCTAAATTATGTTCTACTAGGAGACAAAGGAGAGGTGCCAAGTTAAATAAACACAGTTTAGAGTGTTAAGCGCTGTAACATTGTGCCTGTCATTTTGGAATATCTGGAAGGACTCCCATACTTCCAACGCTTAAAATGTGGAAAGAAAGAATGATTGGGAATGTTGCTTGCAAAAAGATGTTGGGAAGGTTACATCACGCGACTGAAGCTTCGGTGGAACAATGGGACAATTTTTCCACCCACATGTCTGCCTGACTTGGAAATTCCAGATTAATGCAACAGACGTTAAAACCTCTTCGTTTTTTTGTTTTTGTCATTTTTTGTTGTATTTTTGTGTTTGTTAGAAAATGCAAAATTTAATAATTATTTGAATTTTAAAAAGAAAAAGGATAATTTTATCACATTGCTAGGTAGCTGCTAAGCAACATCGTAATGCCTGATGTAGCTAAGAACCTTCAGGGACCTGAGATGTACCTGTGTGCCAATTTTGTTCGCTCATCTGATGGTCTGAGAGGAGATCAGGGACAAAGACACAGACAGAGAGATATTCTGTGTATTATAAAAGAGAACTGTTCTGAGGGCATTGAAGTGAAGAGAAAGATGCTGACTTGTCTGCATGCCACAGTTATACAGTCTTATATTAGCTCATTTTACTGCATTAGGCTGAGAAACGGTGAGCTTTGCTGTGGAAATCCAGGCAATGATAAACAAATAATAATAACTATAATTAATCCCATATAAGAGATGTGAAGTCACACACATGTCAAAAGCCACCTTCTGTCCTGGTATAGAGTACAGCTGCACTCACATGTACTCACCTCAGTATCCTGATCTGTGCTGTTCCAGCGTGGATTCAGGTGTGAGACACGTGCGCTCAGCGTGGTGGAGATGCTGTACCGGGCCTCCCCATCATACTGTGAGATGCCGTTGTCAACAGCATCCACCTCCTCCACAAAGTTCTCATACAGCTGTAAGCACATGATAGAGGCACGTGGCGGCAGAGGTTGTCAATTTGTTATGGCATCAGAATCAGCTGTTTCGTGTTTACACTTATTCCAAGCATAAAATCAGAGTAGTAAAAAAGACAAAGCTTTTTCAAGAAGAATGCATGGAAAGGAATTAAACCCACAGGATATGTGTAGTTACAGAAAATATTAAACCTAAATGAAATAGGAAAAAAGCTGCTACTTCACAAATCCCCGAAAATACTGTACGAGCAGATGAACTGGAACAGCCATATTAAATGATAAAAATTCAACTTCACTGGAAGGTCATTCATGCAAGAGCTGACATTTTACAAGTGACTTATCAGTGGAGCTAAGCTCTGAGGCAAAACTCGATGTTTAGTTTGTCGGAACTGGCTAAGGACATGACATGCAGCATCCTAAAATACGTAGAGCCCGAGCCATGAGTAAAAGGATTACTCGGGGCTTTAAACAAACTGACACATCAAAAGAAAAATGATATCATGAGTTAATAGTGCTAATATTTATAGTGACCCAAGATTTGGCTGGCTTAATGTGCCCGACCATTAAAACACAATGGATGCCAAGGCCTCCTGCTGGCCAAGCTGTCTAAAATGCAAGAAACTGAACTCTGTTTAAATCTGGCTACAAGACTTTGTCGTGTCCTGTCGTGTCCTTTTATATCTGTTCACACTCTACTGCCAACTGTGGGATGAAGGCAAATCCCAAAAGTGTCCTAGTTTGTGCTTTTAAATCTACAGTTGTGGTCAGAGGTTTCATGGGTATAAATGTGATGGTAATTTGGAGAATTTGATCATTTCTGTGAACTGTTCTTTTTCCACTGTGGAATGATTGTACTACAAATGCACACAGGGTCAAATATATAAATACACTTCCACTAATATCTGGTTAAATGTCCCTTAACAAGTTGCACTTGTTTGCACTTTTGGCAGCCATGAACAAGCTTCTGGTATATTTCTGGCTGGATATTTGACCACGCGTCTTGGCAGAATCAGTAGATTTCATATAAACTGTCTGGTTTCCTGGCACGAACCCAGCGTAGTCTGCCAACTGTCAAGAGGCTCGAGTTCAGGCTAGCCTGCTTTAGCCTTTCCAAAACCACAGTACTGAACTGTTTCCAAGTTTTAACTTTTTGGCTGTTGAGTTGAGGTGATGCTGAAGAATTTCAAGTTATTCCTTATTGATGTTTCTATCCACGTTGTGTAATGTACCAAAACCTCTGGCAACAAACAACCCAGAGCATGATGCTACCACCACCATGCTTGACAGATGGCTCAGTGTTCTCAGGTTTCTCAAGCCTAACCTTTACACCTCCATGCCTTCCTTTTGTCATTGTTGCCTGATAGCTCAATCTTTGTCTTGTCTGACCAATGAGTGCTGTCAAACAAATCATTTTTATGCTGACATAGAGAAACTACCAGTTGTAGCCAATCGCTCATTTAAAAGCCTTTGGCACTGTCTTTTAACTTGACACTGTGGAACCATCAGCACCCCCCTATTAAAATATTTAAGTCAGTTTATGCATATATCATATATTTATTGTGTGGATTGCAGAAAATCCAAAAATAAACTCAAAACACTGGCATATGTAAGCGTAGAAATGGATGATCTGGCCAAATAGTCAAATGATAACATTTTGATAACATTTTCTAAATCACAACTCTCTTAAGATTTAGCTTAGAGCAGACGATCTCTTTGATTCGAGGCTAAAGGGTTCATTCACAAGCATATCCATCCTGTTTCCCCTCTGACCTTACTGCTAAAGATATTATCATAAATGGTGAATTGTGTCTCAGTGTCCCAACACTACAGATCGTTTCACACGATTCTGTCTTTAGTTTTCAAAATAACCGACAGAAGATGAAGAACGCATCCAACCCTATTGTTTATGTATAATAGGACAGTTTGGAAGGATTTCAGGATGCAATCTGCACAATTCTTCTGAAAAGCCAAATACATGCCAAATTAGGATGCTGTGTCCCTTATTTTCTATTATAATTTTGTAATTGACAAGCTTGCCCACTTAATAGATTTTTGTAATCTCCCTCTTCCAGCTTTATCGTGAAATTAACAATGTTCAGGTTCCACTCACCAGCTGAGAAAATGTTTTTTTTGGCACAAGTGGACCAGTGGAAAACACATTTTCAATGGCGTGTTTATTTTGTGAATAAACATACAATCGGTAGAAATCCACTGCCTGCTATAAATCTGTCATCTTTTTCCTCTCACCTTGTCATAGAGCACTTCCAGCTGCCTGTCGTTCTCCTTCAGCTGCGTGAGCTGCGACAGCACTCGACGGCCAAAGTGCAGGTAGACCAGGCCGGCAGAGCTGAGCTTGGTCAGCCATGGCTTCTCTGGACACAGGCTGTTGAAGGTGTCTGAAAAAGTCCTGAACAACAGGAAGGAAATGTGTTTATTAGTCTTTGCTAGGGATGGGTATCGTTTAGGTTTTATCCGATACCGGTGCCAAATCGGTACTTTTGAAACGGTGCCGGTGCTTAAACGGTGCTCGAACCGGTGCTTAAAGAATGGAGAACACAAAATTGGTCCAAAAACCTCTCATGTTCAGCTGTTTTTTTGTAAAAAGATAACAATGTTAGCCTTTTCTGCAGCTATGGGGCATATATGGTATCACTCTTGGCTGGAAGCAGTGCTTAAACAATGGAAAAAACACAAACTTTGTCCAAAAACCTCTCATGTTTAACTGTTTTCCACTTTTTCTTTGGTCATTTTAGCCTTTTTGGCCAGGGTGAAGGGAGTATCTGCCATCAAACAAGAAGACAGCCGCATGTAGCTATGATGATGTTTGCTAGTTCACCTTACATGCATTAATGTAATAACGTGGTTAGCCTACTCAACGTAAATTACACACGAACAACATTAAGCTACTCACGCAGAGAAGAACGGCTGCTGCTGCATCATCATCCTCATCATTTCTGCTACACTGGCAGGGCTAGGGGCCAGGACTCTCCTCTTCGTGTTTTTGGGGGATGTTGCTCCGGGTCCGATAACTGGCAACCCACCCGACGTGCACGGTGTGAGGTCTCGCAGCAAGCTATCAAATACGGCGCATTTCTCGGCTTTTAAAAAAACGCTATGCGTCGCCAGCTGTTTCATCGGATTCTTGGTGTTACCTCCTTTGACAGTATCACAGTATCAGCTTAAAGCACTTGTTGCTGCTGAGTTTGCATATTTTGCTGTGAAGTACAGCCAGACTTTTGACCGCTTCGCCTTGGGCATTTTTAATCTGTAGCTCTGCTCTAAAAGAACGTACGTACCTGGCCCCGCCTACTATCCTCGGAAACGTAAAATGATTGGCTAGAAGTGTATCACAGCTCAGGAAAAAAAAGCACCGAAATAAAGCACCGAAATGTGCGCTGCTTTTCGGTCTGGTTACTACCGTTTATGTCAGAACCGGTGCCATCATGGCACCGGACACCGGTACCCATCCCTATCTTGTTAACATTTACCATATATACTGTGTAGCGAGAGAAGAACGGATTATTTATTTTAAAAAAACCAAAAAAAAAAACTTAATATTAATATTTCGTTCTAAAGGCCAATCACTAGACTTTTTTTCTGCTCATAACAAATAATTCATATTTTTTTCTCCTCTTCAGCAAAATGCTGCATCTAGCCATGTGCTTGAAATGATCAATAATGACGCACTGGTTTGTAAGTGTGAGCTCACATAACCACTGGAGGCCTCTCAGACACGTGCTGAGATGGGTGGGCTCCAGCACAGAGTCACTGCTGGTCATTTAATTCAGGCTTAATTAGGATGCTCGGGCAGCAGCACAGCGGAAAACCGACCATCAAATGAATGAGTGACATACTAGGGAAGTAGGGGGTAATCACAGCCATTAAAGGGCTAATTGGCCGTGCAGAGGCATTTCTATGCTGATGATCATAAAATGGAAGTGAATGAGAGAGAGGAAAATGACAATCTGAAACGAAGAACGGCTAAAAGAAAAAACACTTACGAAGAAAAAGTCATCAAACTGTTTGTGTGAAGTCAAGATCAAGCAACATCTCGCTGCATTAAAATGGGACAGTTCAGCTGAGCGCTGGTGATATTTAGGCATAAATTAAGTTTTATTTAAACATAATTAACATATAGTGTGCTTCACATACTGCACCAGCTGCACCACTTAATGTTGCTGATGTCTCTCTGTGTCATTAGAGGAAATTTACTTATTCAGAATTATGCAGATGAATTTGTCACTGATACCTCCAGGAGCTGGACTACAAACCGACTCCAAAGTAGCCTCAATGCCTCATTACAACCGTGTTTAACCCCAAATCTGAATGTTGTCTACAAAACACTGATTACAGCACATTAACTCAAAATACTTTTAGATTAACTTAACTCAGACCTTATTAGTGAATTTCTCTTTTTCTTTAGTGACTTCAATTACTGTAGAAACTTGGAGATGTTTTGATAAAGATTCAAACTGTCTCCAGGTTTTGCCTCCCGTGGTGGGCATTTTGAACAAAAAAGGTCGTTCAGATCATCTCAAAGTGGAAGGGGCACCTAAATTATGTGTTTTTGTATTTGGTCAGTGTCAGAAACTCTGATGCAGACTCGAAAGACAAAGACTTGCAGTTCACAATGTCATCTAATGCATCTAATTCAGTCGCTTCCAACAAAATTGCTTAATCAGGACTTAATACACACAACCTAATGAGATTGAAAATTTCCTCAGACAAACAGGATATATGGAGACTTGGATTAAAAGTGCCTCATTATATTTTCTCCCACTAACCCGAAAGAAACAGAAATATCTTTCATATTCAGATATGTAATATGTTGAATATGTAATCGGACAATTGTTATCTAAGTACTTTGATTTATTCTTCATGTTAGAGTTGTCTTTTTTACTAACTGCTCAGCTCATTTTTGTGACACACACCTTATCTGTGCAACACGGTGGAGAGAGCAGCACCTCACCCTGCTTTTTTAAACCAGCCTCTCCGGGAAGAAAACACATTAAAGAGATTTGTTTTCATTTTACTCTGATGCGATTATTTCCATATATTCCTGATAATAATAACAGAACCAGAACGTCAGTGTCGTAGCGGCTCATCCGGCTTATCCTCCATCTAAATTCACAGGTTACTGTAATGTGTGAAGTACACAAGGAAAGTGGAGAGTTTTCTTGTCACTGGTTGGCTGTATTGTACAAAATAATGAGAATTAATGCCATTACTCTAGGAGCAGCAATTCTTGTGAACATGGAAAAATCTCCATAAAAATGCTGGATATTACCTCGACTTTACAGCTTGTACAAGGATGAATTCTGACCAATGCTACAGCAGGAGGAGTGACGCTCTTGAATTGTGGAAATACAGATGACAGAAAGACTTACAGAGCGTTTGGTGTTGGTGTGGTTTGATTTGTCCACTTCTTTTCAAACCTGCTGGATGCTCCTTTTTTTAAGTTATCCATGTCATTGAACACCAAGATGTACTTATTTTTCGGATTGTTTCTGTGCATAACTATAATTCACAACACATGAAAATACAGCAAGAAATTTAGTGACTCGGCTCAAACACTGTTTAAAAAGAATACTATTACTTGGTAATTTCCCAGTTTCCTGTGCGGTATAATACCTGATGGAAAATGAGGGCTGGGAAGAGAGAAAATGTCTAAGAGCAAATTTTGCCTGTTTGTGGGGTTTTTTTGAAAGTAAACAAGGAAATGCATTTTCATTTATAGCCAACTGTAAACAAATAATAGAACAGACTCAATAGTTTAAGTCTCAGAGAGCTTCAGATACTAAATGATCTATGGGGCATTGCTGATTACACTTTTCCCATCAAATGAGTTCAGCAAGAGTTGTTAAGTCAACTCAGTGCATTGCAGTAACGGTGATTTAATTTAAAAATTGTTGTACTTTTGAGAGGCAAGCACCAATGACTCCATACATTTGCACCATTACTGTCCATAAATTCATTCATTTTCTTCCATTTATTGAATTCAGGGTCACTGTTGGACTGCAGCTTATTCCAACTCACATAGAGCAACGGCAATGTTTTTATACATTAGTATGTACAGAGTACAGCCCGAACAGGCTGCCAATCTATTGTAGAATTACAATAAAGGGCTTTTCTATTCTATTCTAGAAAGGCTCGTCTTGCTGGTGGATTTGAAACTAAGACCTTCTTGCTGTGAGGTGACAGTGCTAACCACCATGCCACCACCATTACTGATATTCATATTTAGACCCAAATGCAGACATTATTACAGTAGATCAATCCCAAATATTAAATAACTGATCAACATTTGGTCACATTATAATGCAGTGGTCCCCAACCCCCCGGGGTTTTCAGGGTTTCCCTGGGTCTTTTCCCGTGTTGTAATTGAAAGAAATATTTCTGCGTTACCACAGCAACCAGAGAGCGTTAAAGGGCAGAGAGGAGGATGTTACTTTCAATATTGTTGGTGCATTTCAGGAGGATGCTGCTAATAAAGTTATACAATTACATTGTGAATTTGCGTTTATCACTATATTTACAAACTACCAGTTTTTGTCTCGGTCGTATCGTTTTATTTTGTTGCATTTATCCGCGACACATTCAAGTCCGGTCCGTGAAAATATTGTCTGACATTAAATCGGTCCGTGGCGCAAAAAAGGCTGGGGACCGCTGTTATAATGCACTGAAGATATGCAATAAATTCATGAGAGAAGGAAAGCTGCAGTATCCAAAAATCATTTTTCCTACATTGTTAAAGGTCCAAACTCAGTGAGAGTAGCAGTCAAATCTGCAAAAAAGGTTTTCCTTTTGCTGTTTATGACAAGCTGCAAAATGCAGAGCATGTTTGTCACCGCTGAAAAATATGTTTACTCACCTATAATTCTTTGTTAAGTCAAAGCAGTGAGTGAGCCGAGCATAAGCAACCAATCTTAATAATTTAACTGGGTATATATTTCTTAGCCTTCAAATTTATAAAATGTATTTTTAAACATTTTCTAATTAGTAGTCATTTGATATTTGTAAATATATTTATATATAATAACCACAGGTCCTTTAATGACTTGCACTCTTGTAATTGCATGCTATTTTATTTGACAGAATGTGTCTGCGATTCATTGGTACTGCTGTCAGCTCAATCTGTATGCTGTCACAAGTGAAATTGAAATGAGGACTACAGTTGTTCTCGCCAGCTCCTTCTCTAACTTCCTGTCGCACCAATCCCACTTACATTCATCTGTGCCATCACAACCATCTTGCCCCCCATCCGGGCATGTGAGTGACAGCCACAGCCTCCTGTGGCCCCGACAGCACTGCTGCAGCCTCTGTGCCTCGTGAACCGACAGCAGGGGGGCGTTCAATTCAAGGAGCGCTAATTATCACTAACCGCCTGCGAGGAAGAGAGCCCTGGCATATCTTTATCGCCGTGGTCATAAAAGCTATGGCTGATTATCATCAGGACATTAAGCTGACAAGACACCTGGAATAGGCTGATTACTCAACGTGATGAGACGTCGACTGAATGCAATCATCAGGAAGAAATTCTACACAAAACACAGAGCCTGTTACCTTATGATTCATGCAATCAGGGTGCTTCAAAGATGTCAGAGCAGAAGCCACCCCGAAATGTAGTTTCTCATCATTAGAACTCAGATAATGAAAAGAAATCCCAAAGGCTGTACGATGACGATGTTAAAGTGGGAAAAATCCAGGCGTAATAATTCCGATAAATTATTTTGGCTTGCTGGAGACAGTGCGCCTCAGCGCTTGGAAGTGACTGGAGATTGGTGCGTGAGCTACTTTAAAGATTACGCTTCCTTCCATTGGTACATGCATATATTAGAGTCTGACCGATATAGGATTGTTAAGTCTGATACCAATATTTGGTAATTTCAAAATCCAATAATCTGATATGTCAGCTGTTTCTACTTTTAGAAAAATAAAATCTAAACAGAGTGGCTGACAGGGAAATAGAGAGTTCCCTCTGTTGGACAAACTATGTAACATCAACACTCATAACATGGCTGAGTGGTGTTTCTCCTGAATCTTCTTTATCTTTTAAAACATTCTTTTGTTGATCCTTAAAACTACCAATACAGACAGAAAACACGAACAGCTCAAAATGCAACACCATGTTTTTTACAGCACTTGGAACAAAACAAGATTTTAATCTTAAACTTGAAGTGAAATTTTTCAGCTGGCATAAAATTAATCTGTGATATGATCCTGACCTTTACTGTTGATGAACAGTGAAGATTAATCTCTCCCCCAGTCTTAGTTCAGAGTACATAATATTTTAGAAATCTACAGCTATAAATTTCTCTCTTTTCAGCAGCTTACTGCCAGAACTGCACCTCTGATGGTGGTCATAGCGGTGCCTCTTTGGGTCAAACTCTCCTCCAACGTCCACAACAATGTCGCACTCCGCCAGCTGTGCAGGGTCCCTGGTGCGAATGATTTCTCCATCCTGTGCAGCAAACAAAAAGAAATATATGTCAAACTAAATTAATAATCATTATTATTTTATTATTTGTTTACTTGTATAACACTTATCAACACCAACATTCAAAGTGCTTTCCAGAAACACAGGAAAAAAGAACAAACTAGCATGAAATTAAAACGATTAGTCTTTAAATGCGATGTGGGAACAGTTAACATGTTTCTGCCTGAGCATCTGAGGCTGCTTGGTGTTTGGTACGGGAACAGCAGTTTTAGTATATATTCTGGGCCCAGATCATGAAGGGCTTTTAAAGTAATGACTATAATCTGAAAATCAGTTCTAGAAGTAATGGCCCGCCAGTGTAGAGTCATTAAGACTGGCGTAATATGTTCAGTGTTCTTGGTTCTTCTAAGAAGTCTGGCTGCTGAATTTTTCACCATCTGAAGTCGATTTAATGCTTTCTGATTGATACCTGTTAAAAGACCATTACAACAATCTCACCGGAGGGAAAAGAAAAAAAAACACGTGAAAAATTAGACCATAGAAGCCCAGCCCTGTGTTTGGAGGTCCAACCTTTAAACTTTGACTGTATAAAGTATACGTCAATTCAAATATGCAATCAAAATGTTTCTGTTAAACTACGCGTAAATCACAGACATGTAGAGGTAATCAAATATGGTATTTTTGTTACTAATATAAATTATAAAAATTACAAATATAAACAACAGAGTGCCACAAAACAACGGTACAGCTACGACAGGCTATAACCTGGGTTTGATCACAGGTTTTATTAGGGCAGTGCAGCAAATCTCTGATCAGTATCTGATCAATATTATTTTATCACCCATATTAAGTATTTAGAGACAAAATGTGCTATTAGGTTGAGATTAACTTAATTAAAAACTCCCTCAAATGTTCTGCAAACCTGGCTACACACACAAAAAATGTATTTTTAGTTTATTCAGACCATAACACTGAAATGTGTGACATGTTCACCGTATTACGTCTTATGCTGTAATCGTTTTTGCAATCCGTTTACACACAGCGCCCCCTTTTGGTGGGTTTTTTTTTGGCATTACACTGGATCCATCAACAGAAGACAAGATTAAGTGTTGTTTCCAAAAATGCAGATGTGGCTTTATCCTTACGGTGAGGACTTCCTGGGAGGATTTAAATTCTACCTAGCCAGTAACGATGAGCACAGTGATTACATTAAAAAAAATTCAAAGCACAGCGTGGAGTTAGCAATAACCCCAAACATGTTTCTATCAATCTGCAGCGTGCTGCACCCACCGAGTACTCGGGTAACTGCCGGAGGAAGAAACAAGCCAGAACCTCGTCGCAGTGGAAGGTCCCGTTGTGGGTTCCGATCTTTGTAACGGTCATGTTTTCGGTGCAGAGTCTCTTCGGCTCACTTGACATGTAGCGCGTTTCTCCGTTAGCAAAGTGCACGGGCGAACTAAAGCAGCTAACCCGCGAAAATACCCTTCGTGACACACCTGCTGTTTCACTGGTTACCAGAAAATATCTGTTTTTTGTTAATTTAAGCGCCAAAGAAAAAACACGCACGACCCACATCCAGAGAGTAATCCACGAGACGTGCCAATGGCGGACAGGTTTGACAGCCGGACCGGATGTGCTGCTCCTGTTTAGAGAACTAAAAATGCCGGGGAGCATTTTTGTTGTTGTCACCATTGTTACCGTTGTGTTGTTTGCCTTTATGGGCTTAAATAACTCACGCAGACAGTGATAAACAACACTGGTGACAACAACACAGGTAATTAAAGCGATTACATTATCTCAGAAGCTCGTTTGCAGGAGAATGCTTTTATGCTAGCTCAACTTGTGTACAGCAGAGGACGCTGCAGAGTTAAAAAAGCAGGACTTGGACACTGTGTAGTACACAAATAGTTAATTATGTACTACTGTACATGATTTATTTTATTTAAAAAATATATTCTACAATTACATAATAATAATAAAAAATTATGTTAAATTTACAAGCATTCGCTGTTTCGTATTCTCATACAAAATAGATATTTGTCAATGAGAGAAGCAAGAAAAGATACAAGGAGGTGAAGTGAAGGTGGAATAGTTTAAATGCCTGGGGTCAACTATCAAAAGCAGGGGACAGTGCACAAGAGAGGTGAAGCAGAGAGTGCATGCAGGGTGGAGAGGGTGTAGGTTAGAGTCAGGGGTGATTTGTGAGAGAAGGATGGTAGCAAGATTCAAAGGAAAGGTTTAGAATCAGAATCAGAATGGGGTTTATTGCCAAATGTTGAGCAGGTTTACAACATTAGGAAATTGCTGCGGTGCTTCAGTGCAAACATGGTGTCATAAATAACACTTAAATAGACATGGAAAAAATAAAAGTAGGGATAAGAATTAAAAGTGCTACGTGGAAAGATATGTGCATGAGATATACATGAGATATATACATGAGAGTAAGAATTAAGAGTGCTACGTTGAAAGATATATACATGAGTGCAGGTGGTGATCAGTGCCAAACATGGAATGATACAGTGAACACAGCGTAGGGTCATGTGTTAGTGGGGGGACAGTCATATGGTTATTGTTCATGTGTCCAACAGCAGAGGGGAAGAAACTGTTCTTATGGCGAGAGGTTCTGGTGCGAATGGACCGGAGCCTCCTGCCTGAGGGGAGCAGGTCAAACAGACTGTGTCCAGGGTGAGAAGGGTCAGCTGAGATCCGAGCTGCACGCCCGCAATGTCCTGGAGGTGTACAGGTCCTGCAGAAGATGGGAGTCTGCAGCCAATCACCTTCTCAGCAGAGCGCACAACACGCTGCAGTCTCTGTTTGTCCCTGATAGTGGCTCCAGCGTACCACACGGTGATGGAGGAGGTGAGGATGGACTCGATGATTGCAGTGTAGAACTGCATCATCGTCCGTGTTGGCAGGTTGAATTTCTTCAGCTGCCTCAGGAAGTACATCCTCTGCTGGGCTTTCTTGATGACGGAGGTGATGGTGGGCTCCCACTTCAGGTCCTGGGTGATGGTGGTACCCAGGAAGCGGAATGAGTCCACAGAGGTGATGGGGGTGTCAGTCAGGATGATGGGGGGGAGTGGGGCTGTGTGCTTCCTGAAGTCCACAATAATCTCCACTGTCTTCTGGGCATTCAGCACCAGGTTGTTGTGGCTGCACCAGGACACCAGACGTTCAACCTCCCTCCTGTAGGCAGACTCATCCCCGTCCGAGATGAGTCCAATAACGGTGGTGTCATCATTACAAGATTGTAATGAGACGTGCTGTGATGTATGGCTGGAGAAGGTGGCAGTGACAAAATGACAGGAGGCAGAGATTAAGACTTTCAGGCCTATAGTGTGAGGTAGTGCAATAAATAAATAAAAATCGTCTCATATCTATTTTTTATGTTTAGCACTATTTGATATATACAGCAGTGAAAATTTAAAAAATAAATAAATAAATAATGGAGTTAAAGAAAAATTTAAAAGAAATGAGACAGAGATTGTGCAAAAGAGTATGGAAATGGCATTAGAAGATAATAACATGCACACTTTAAATCTAAGAAACAGAAGCAGGAAGGTAAACTACAGACATGTGATGGGGCTCCGGTTGAGCAGCTTGGACACAAAGTTACAGAGGCAAGGCTGAGACTGTTTGGACATGTACAGAAGAGGGATAGTGTACACTGTTCAGTGGATCCTGAAGATGGAGATGTAGGCAGGATGAAAACAGGTTGAAGAACCAATAGAACAAGAAGATTAAATAAAAAGCAACACAGACACTGCGACAGGCTGTGCACTTTTTGTCTGTGAAGACGTTGTATCTCTCATTCAAGAGGAATCTTCAGTTCTACAACTGATGGAGACTCCAGGTATTTAACACCTAGCTGGGTTATCCCTTAGGATCTCCTCCAGGTTGACGCATCCACTACGTATTAAATACTTGGGACTCTCCATCAGTTATTTTTAAACTAAAAAAAAAACACCTCTTGGATGAGGTGAAGGTCCATTTTGTCTTATTTTCACCTATTCACAGCTTTGTGCATTTTTAGTGCAACCTGAGGTCTTGGTGGTTACAAACCTTTTTGGGGTTTTTTCCCTTTTACACTTATTTAGGCCACTGTTCCCGCTGGGATGACACAAGAAAAGGTTTTCTACCCTTTGCCCCAGTCTCTGCTTCACCACGCTTCACCACGCTTTCGTTAGAGTAGATAAAGTCATCTTTGGAGATTGATGGCTTAGTGTTTGTCCTGACAGGCAGTGTGAAAGCTCATGGGTGTGTGTCTTTCTAAATTCCATCCAATCACTGTCAACTTTCCATCTCAAGGATAATGTCAACAAAAAAGATGCATGTGACAACAAAAGAGTCTCAGCACAGTAAAAAGGTTAGTGCATTAGAAATGTGCACAAGACATATAAATATGAATGCAAATAAACATTTTCCTGGTCAGCTTTGTTCTACACTGTTTTTTTACACCTTGATGGGCAAAAACTGTAATGTTCTTCCTTTTTAAATGAAATCTGCAATACAGTGACAGGTTTTTAATATGAATGGACACGTGCATGAATAATATTGAAACCTTGAGTTATTGCCTTGGACTGTTTTTCCTGCCGTGCTAGAATTGGGATGGGATAATTAGTGAGGGTCAGGATCAGCGCTCACCCCCAACTCTCGTTCTCGCGGTATTACCTTCAAGGTTTATTGACAAGGTAATTAGCCAGATGGGACCCCAGTAGTAGCAGCAGGGCTGAACGGAGGTAGCACGGTTTCAGGGCTTTCCCGTGTGAAAAACAGCTGCACTTTCCTGCTTTACAAACCGATCTACCAGCGGAAACCAAACAGCAAGCCTGCAAAAGGTAGGCTTTTGTATTAGCGTTATGAAGGCACAGCCTGCTTCCTGCAGAGCCTCATTCATTCTTCCGATGTCGGTAATATATTCTTCCTGTCCAGTTTTAACGATCGCACGCAAATGTCTCACTGGCATCAATTCATACTGCAGCTGCTTTGCAATGCAGATGTTCCCCAAATATCGGGACAAAGAGTCATGAAGCCTGACACATTTAAAACGGTAAATACAGTCAGAGAATGTTTGCTGCGATGTTAGTCTGACGTAGAACCACCAGGTGGCGCTGTGTCTCGGTCATTTAACCAAGTTGCTTCATCGTCTGTATCACCAGTTCAGTGGGCACATTGGCAAGTCTTTATTTCAGCCTAATGAAATCGATAAACATTGACTTGGAGTGGGGGAGTCCACAGAGAGGCCGGTGTAGGGTTTCTCCTGTAAAGGGACTTAAGAAGTCGACGCCCACACTCCATCATTCTATGTATTTCCTCTGAAGCCCCGATGTTATTCGTCAAAATACACAACTTGTATTTTATGGAAGACTACGAGGGATTTTTTAAGTGTCCCGGAGAAACCGAGCTCAACTCGGAGAGATTTAAAGGATATGAGACAAACAGAAAACAAAGAAAAACAAACGTCGTGCTCACCTCCAAATCATTAAACTGCCATACTGTTAATAGAACTTAAGTACTCACAATTGCATATATAATACTATTTTATATGCTGTTAAACTACTTAGTATAAAATGGCAATAAGAAAAAATGGACACGCTTCTGTCAATGGCTTTCCTCTGCATATGTGGACATCACCAGCAATAAAGCACTGGGACACACAGGAACCTGCTCAGTAGTGGATTTATATTTATTTGTATACGTATTTTTATACGTACATAACATCACATATATAGCTGGATATAAAGCCAAACCTCACAAAAGAAGAAATGAATTTAAAAACACCTTTCCCATAACAGGAACAAAATATCTTAGATGATACAGTCTGTCGGATTCAATAGAAAGATCAAATATACATCTAGTAGTCCATGAATACCTTAAAAAAACATTATATGGAACAATATACGTCAGTTTACTAGAGGTCCTTGGAACCCATCCACTACATATAATAATCGTAAAAAACAGGACGACAACAATTCCTCATTTAATCCTCCAGGATACACTGTTATATATCCAATGGGCTTCCCTTTGATTTCCCTTCCCTGTCAACAACTCTTTTCAACAGCCCAACCACCATTCCCCGTAACCACTGACCCTCTAGCTAACTGAAAATGTCTGGCTGTAGGGGACCTCTCATCATTTTTTCTGATGTAATTCTTGTGTTCAGAAATGTTAGCTATCAACTCCTTCTTATTGTTCATAACAAAATTCAGAAGGGAGCTTTATTAAATATACTATATGTGTGGTACTAAAAGTGAATGAATGAAAGAACGGGATTAATTAAGAAGTTATGCATATCAGTCTGTTTTGAAAGTGGGGAAAAAAAACAGTCCGATCCTTTATGTTCTCATTTCAGGAAAAAGCACAGTGATCAAAAGGTTAAATGAGTGTATTTCTGGGATCAGAAAAATGTATAGAAATAACTTTTTGGCATTTACCATCCTGTGCCAAGGAGACATTCAGCTGTTTCAGTATAAATGGAAAAATAAAACGTCCAATTGTCCGTCCATTCATAGTCATAGGGCAAAAGGCAGGGTAAACCCTGGGAGGGATATCACAAGGCTAAACATTTGCAATGAATTTATTTATTTTGTTGTGTTTTTGTTTTGTTTTTGCCTGTGAACATTTAAGCATAGTCTTATTTCTGTCCATGCTGCCAGGTCTACTGAGTGTATTTGGTGTATTATTGCTTTTGGATTTTGTAGCCTCTAAACAGTACCACGGA